TAACGTGTCGGGAATCCAGAAGAGTCACTTCTATGGAAACGCTAGAATAGACCGTTGCATAGGAAACAACAATCGCTCTATTGTAGTTCTAACAGGAGTCTCCACAGTTATAACAGAGGTTTCGTTGCATAGCAGCGACCGAGGTTATAAAACGGGGTTGAATGCATTTGCACAGTTAGTCCTGACCCAACCACTAAAGAAGACAGTCCAGTATCGCCGAGATATTGTAAGCAGTAATTGTAACACTGCAAGAGCAGATGATTGTAAGGTGTGTAAGGTGAGCGAGTGGAATAAATCCGTTATATCAAACACAGCGTAAACTTATTTGTAGCGCAACACCCAAACACGCAACACTGGTGTCAGAAGTGTTTTACGAACTTAAACACACCACAAACAGATTATTGTGCATTGAATATTTTACTGCTACAAAATGGAATCACAGCAGATGATGGAAATGCTGCTCAAGGAAATCAGAGCTGATTGAGAAAAAACACATATCATGCTGGCGAAGGCAGAGGCGGAGAGAAAAACTGACAAAGAAGAAATGCTGGCAAGGATGGATGCCAACATGAAAAGCAGTCAAGAAGTACTCCTGGCTAAACTAGACACCAACCAGGCAAAGGCCGACGCCAGCCATAAAGAGATGATGGCCGATTGGAAAGCATGGCGAGAAATGGCTGCCATGACAGACAAATTGGGGAACGACAGCCACAAGGAGTTAGCGGCTGAAAACGACATAAGAACGACAGCATGCTGAGAAGCGATGAAGGCCGATGCAGGGAAGACTAAGCCCCATTTAGATGTGATGCAGACCGGCCTCCCCAACAAGGATGAATGGAGAATGGAAGTGAGGAATGAATGTGAGACAATGGGACCGACAATCGCTGGACCTTGGAAGTGCTCAGGGGCGAGCACCACTGAAGAGGGGCAGATACGGTTAGACGAACGGCGCACAAAGATGCCAGCAGGACACCAAGACCGAATGCAGACGCTGTCAACAGAACACCGCGGAATCGAAACCGAGGGAGAACCTTTAGGCTGTTCGGGGACGAACAACCTTTAGAAGGGAGCAATGTAACGTGTCGGGAATCCAGAAGAGTCACTTCTATGGAAACGCTAGAATAGGCCATTGCATAGGAACCAACAATCGCTCTATTGTAGTTCTAACAGGAGTCTCCACGGTTATAACAGAGGGTTTGTTGCATAGCAGCGACCAAGGTTATAAAACAGGGTTGAATGCATTCGCACAGTTAGTCCTGACCCAACCGCTAAAGAAGACAGTCCAGTATCGCTGAGATATTGTAAGCAGTAATTGTAACACTGCAAGAGCAGATGATTGTAAGGTGTGTAAGGTGTGCGAGTGGAATAAATCCGCTATATCAAACACGGCATAAACTTATTTGTAGCGCAACACCCAAACACGCAACAATATTTTCCATATCATCACTATTAATGGTTTGAAAATACTTCACATCTTCCAGCACATTATGCTTAGAATGCTGCTACAGGAACAGTCCAGCAACCATATTAAGGTTAGTGACATCAAATGATCAAAGCAGAAAACGTTTAAGGTTTTCTCTGAAAGATCATTACAGGTGATGGAGCGACTAGGTAAAGTTATCCCTGTGCTTAACTAATTAAACACTACGCCATGAAGGCGTATGGGTAGTTGATGTATGGATTCACATTTTCTTTATCTCAGTACTAGCAGCAGTGGTCAGCTTCATGCCCCGGCCTCTTTACCCCCAGGGAAAGAGGCCCCAGTACCCATTGGAGAGGAGGGTGAGTAGACCCCAGAGCCAGTCTGGATGATGAAGAGAAGAGAAAATTCTTGACCCTACCAGGACTCGAATTCCGACCCCTCGGTCATCCAGCCTGTAGCCAGGCGCTGTACCACTATGTTATCCCTGCTCCCAGTGCTACTTGTATGGTGCCAGAGTAAATAACAATCTTACGCAAGAAAGTCTATCACCACTGGGAACCACAAATTTGTATTTCCTCCATCCTGTTGCACCTGCATATTGATGGAGTCTGACAGTGTGAATTCATCCTCCAGAAAATTATTGGTTTCAAACCTAGCCTTTCCTAGGTGTTTTTGTTTTCTTCTGGCAAAATTGTAACAAATAACACGTGTTTTTGTTGGATCATAAGTAGTTTATGGCAAATTCTTATAGCAGTTGAAATTGTGTTGCTGTTTCTGCTTACAGATATAACCATGTAGGTTTGAAGTGCCCTGATCCTGTCACTACACATTTTCATGGTTACCGTGACTTTGGAGCTCTCACAGAGCAATTGGAGCAGCTCATGAATGATTATTTAAAAACCCGGACTTCTGAAGTGAAGTCTGACTTTCGTGATGTGATGTACATAAAATCAATGCAGTCTCAGTCACACCCTGGAGAACCTGTTGGTCTGCTGGCAGCCCAGGTAAAATAAACTGACTTGTCATATATCACATGCTCTCACAAAGCTTTTGTAAATTTATTGGAAACCTTTTGTGCTCTTTTGAGACTTGATACTGGAAATCAGCACTTCCTTCATATTGTCGCAAATAGGGACTATAGGCAGGGTTCAATTTGTGGACTCGATTTATTGGCCACATAACTCGTGACTACACATTACAGATCACTGACACACACAGACTTGTGCACAACATTTCAGTGTTGTCAAAATATGTGAAGCAGAACAGTAGGTATGCTGTTTCAACATGGTAATGAATGTTCTTTAAAAGTTAGGTTATGTAAAACAGTGTTAAAATTCTCATATAATCTGTCAGTAGATGAAAAATAAATGAAGCACCTGATTTTATATACCAATAGTTTTTGGGTATTGGACCACAGAATAGTTAAAAACTGTACAGAGATATTTATACAAGCAACTTTAGACATGTAAATTATATGAATCATACTCTGAAATTGTGTAACTTTTGGTTCAGTACTGAAGAATAAAGTGTTCATCAATTGTATTTTATTTCAGTCTGTTGGGGAGCCATCCACCCAAATGACTCTCAACACATTTCACTTTGCTGGACGAGGTGAGATGAATGTTACCCTTGGTATACCTCGATTGCGTGAACTGCTCATGACTGCCTCAAGAAACATCAAGACTCCTAATATGGACATACCATTTCTTCCAGAAGTACCACATTTAGAGAACAGGGCTGAGCAGTTGAAACTGAAGCTTTGCAGAGTAACAGTTTCTGATATTTTGAAGCATGTTGATGTGACAGATAAGCTTGAGACACATCCGTCCAGGTAAAGAATTTTTCAGAATTTTTCAGAATTTTTCCCCGTTATTTCTTATTTAACAGTTAAGCAAACTGGAGTAGTGCAAGATGATATGATGGGTGTAAAACATGAATTCAGATGGAATTTTAGGAGCTAATAATTGAAGGCACTATTCAGCATCTCCTTGACTATTCTGAGCAAACCCACAAACTACAATAAAATAGTATAATTACTTACTTACTTACTTATGGAGCTGAGCCCTTCTGGAGGAGCCGCCAATTCTGCAGCTATTCAAGATTTTCCCAGCATTTTATGGAACCCGAAGGTTCATTACTGTGTTTACAGGAGCCCTCCACTGGTACCTATCTTGAGCCAGATGAATCCAATCCATACCATCCCATCCCATCCCATCCTATCTCTCTAAGATCCATTTTAATATGATTTGAGGTGTTCACGGCGGTGACTATGAAGAAAGCAGTCTTCTGGGA